TGGTCCGGTACTAAGAAACAATCGTGGAAGGGCCATCACGTCCGTATCGAGTATTGGAGCCGCTGGACCGGTAGCAGCGATTACGTGCAAGAGGGCGATGCGGATTGGGACCACATGGTGCCTCGTCGTTTCCCCCATATCTTTTGGAACGGGCCTTACAACCAGTACGGGTACGATTCCGGCTTGGATAACGTGGTCAGTCAGGACATGGGTTCGGGATTCTGGAAGTATCACTTCACGGCCGAGTGGCCCGCGGTGGCTCAGTTGAATATCTGGGGCATGAACCCTGACGGACAACCGGATCAGAGCTGGGTGTTGGGCGATGCTGATAACGATTCGGTTCTCGACCGCATGCCTCCTTCCTCGCTGTCGGCCACGCTGATCAACATCACCAACCACCCTCCATCCCCGTACATCTCATGGAACGTGATCATTGACGACGCTACCATGCGCTTCCGGTTGTACCCGGTCGGCAAACAGGCCACTCAGATTGCCATGTTCGTGCTCTTCTGGATCATTCCCCCGATCAGCGGCGCCGCCTGCGTCTGGGTGTTCATGAAATCGTTCTACAAAGTTAAGTTCAACCAGGTCGGTGTGACCGAGAAGCACAACATGATTCCCCTGGCCATCCGTCGCAAGTTCAAGAAGCGTCCTCGTGGAACTGAGGAGAAGGAAATGGGCGCGTTGACCCGTTTGGCCAACAAGTCAGGCTTGTTGCAAACCTCGACGCCTCTCAGCGGGGCCGCGGCTGCCAAGCGTCGCATGGTTCTCATCGCCACCATGGAGTACGATATCGAGGACTGGCAGATCAAGATTAAGATCGGTGGATTGGGTGTCATGGCCCAACTGATGGGTAAAACGCTCGGTCATCAGGACCTTATCTGGGTGGTTCCTTGTGTCGGTGGAGTGGATTATCCTGTGGATACCCCCGCTGAGCCCATGAACGTCACGATCCTTGGCAACGACTACGAGGTGCAAGTGCAATATCACACGTTGAACAACATTACGTACGTGTTGCTTGACGCCCCTGTCTTCCGCCAACAGTCCAAGTCAGAGCCGTATCCCGCGCGTATGGACGATCTGAACAGTGCTATCTATTATTCTGCATGGAATCAGTGTATCGCTCAGGCGTGTAAGCGCTTCCCCATTGACCTTTATCATATCAACGATTATCACGGTTCGTTGGCACCGCTTTACCTTTTGCCCGAGACTATTCCAGCGTGTTTGTCCCTGCACAACGCCGAGTTCCAAGGTCTGTGGCCTCTGCGGACCACCACGGAACGCGAGGAAGTGTGCAAGGTATTTAACCTGAGCCTGGACGTGGTCCGCCACTACGTCCAGTTCGGTGAAGTCTTCAACTTGTTGCACTCCGGTGCTAGTTACCTGCGTGTGCACCAACAGGGTTTTGGTGCCGTCGGTGTCTCCAAAAAATACGGTAAACGGTCGTACGCGCGTTATCCCATCTTCTGGGGTCTGCGTAAGATTGGCAACCTCCCCAACCCGGATCCTTCGGATATTGGTGACTGGGACAAGGAACAGGCAAAGGCGATGAGCGGCGATATCGCCGTTGACCCATCCTACGAAGCTGGCCGTGGAGACTTGAAGCGTCAAGCCCAGGAGTGGGCCGGTCTTACTGTCAATCCGGACGCGGATCTGCTGGTCTTTGTCGGCCGTTGGTCCATGCAAAAGGGTGTCGATTTGATCGCTGATGTGATGCCAAGTGTTCTCGAGGCCCATCCCAACGTGCAGTTGATTTGCGTTGGTCCAGTGATTGATCTATACGGCAAGTTCGCTGCCCTCAAGCTCGATCATATGATGAAGCTCTACCCTGGCCGTGTCTTCTCACGTCCCGAATTCACGAGTCTGCCGCCCTATATCTTCTCTGGAGCCGAATTCGCCCTTATTCCTTCGCGTGACGAACCTTTCGGCCTCGTCGCCGTCGAGTTCGGACGTAAGGGTGCTTTGGGTATCGGAGCCCGCGTTGGTGGACTGGGCCAGATGCCAGGTTGGTGGTACAACGTTGAATCGACGTCGACATACCACTTGCTCCACCAGTTCAAGTTGGCTATCGACGCGGCCCTTAATTCCAAGGAGGAGACGAGAGCGATGATGCGCGCCCGGTCGGCCAAGCAGCGTTTCCCCGTGGCTCAGTGGGTTGAAGATCTGGAGATCCTGCAAACGACGGCAATCCAGGTGCATAACAAGGAACGAAGCAAGACAAACAACCGGCCAGTGACCCCCTCCGCCTCGAACTTCGCCCTCGCCCCGACTCCGGCCAGCCCCATGCTGGCTCCGGGCATGCAGACGCCTACGCTGCAATCCCGCGAGAGCAGCTATGCCAACCTCAACCGGCTCAGCGAGTACGTGGCCACCTCGGAAACCACCGAGAAGCCCGCCAGCGGTCTGCAACGCAAGCTGTCTCTGGGCTACCGCTCCGGCCCCGGTCACCGTCCGCGTGCGCAGCGTGCGGATCCTCAGAACGAGAACATCGTCGAGGCCGAGGAAGGCGGCGACGAGACCGACATCGAGCACGACCCCCAGGACAACTTTGGTGATGACGAGTACACGCTCAACCATGCGGAACTGGAAGAGGCGCGCCGTCTGCAGGCCGCGCGGCAATCGGGGGCTTTGGTCCCCGCCAGCCCTGGGTTCCCTCACAACAGTCTCGTTCCCTCCAGTCCTGGCACTCCTCCGACAGCCTCGCAGACTCTGTTGCCTCCGCCCAACATCCACGAGGCCCGCAACCGTCTCAGTAGCGCCTCGATGCTCTCCCTCGATTCCGTGGTCGGCGGCAAGAAGGACTTCAAGCTGCAGAAGGTTGACCCCTTCTTCACCGACAGTACGGGCGAGTACTACAACTCGTTCGACAAGAAGCTCGAAGACCTGACGGGTGAGAACTCGGAATCGCAGTTCTGTATCGAGGAGTACTTGATCCAGAGTGAGAAGGAATGGTTCGATCGCTTCCGCGATGCTAAGTTGGGTCGCTTCAAGTCGCCGACGCCCTCCATCTTCCGCGACAAGCACGGCGCCTCCCCCATGGGCTCGTACAACGACGAGACTGGCTCGCGCATGAGCGCCAGCAGCAACGAGGAGTCCAACGAGACCGACGACGAGTTCCTGCTGGGCAAGGACTACGTCCCACCCACGGGACTGCGGCGCTGGATGCAGATCCGCATCGGCGACTGGCCCATCTACTCGATCTTCCTGTCGATTGGTCAGATCATCGCCGCCAACTCGTACCAGGTCACCCTTTTGACCGGTGAAGTCGGTCAGACGGCCGAGAAGCTGTACGGCATTGCCACTACATACCTGATCGCCTCGATCTGTTGGTGGTTGGTGTATCGCTACTTCAAGTCCGTGGTGTGTCTCTCGGCTCCGTGGTTCTTCTACGGCCTTGCCTTCCTGCTGATCGGATCCGCCCACTGGGATACCAACGAGTTTAACCGTGGCTGGATTCAGAACATCGGCAGTGGTGCCTACGCGGTTGGATCGTCGAGTGGTTCGCTCTTCTTCGCCCTCAACTTCGGTGACGAAGGTGGTGCCCCCGTGGAGGTGTGGATCTTCCGCGCGTGCCTCATCCAAGGCATCCAGTCCGCCTACGTGATCGCCCTCTGGTACTGGGGATCGACCCTGACCAAGGCGTCCAGCGCCGGCGTGCTGACCAGCACGAACAACATCGCCAACTCGTGGAAGATGACCGCCATCTGTTACCCGATCGCCATCGCCCTGTGGGCCGTAGGCATCTTGTTGTTCTTGGGCCTTCCCACCTACTACAACCAGACGCCCGGCAAGGTCGCCTCCTTCTACAAGTCCGTCTTCCGGCGTAAGATCGTGCTCTGGAACTTCGTGGCGGTCATCCTGCAGAACTTCTTCCTGAGCGCGCCGTACGGCCGCAACTGGGGCTTCCTGTGGGGATCGGCGCACGCGCACGGCTGGCAGATCGTCATCCTGTGTATCGTCTTCTACGGCTTCGTCTGGGCCGGGTTCCTGTTCGTCGTCAGCCGCTATTTCAAGGCGCACAGCTGGTTCCTGCCGGTGTTCGCCTGCGGACTGGGCGCGCCGCGCTGGGCCCAGATCTGGTGGGGTGTCTCCGGTATCGGCTACTTCTTGCCCTGGGTGACCGGCGGATATACAGGCGGTGCCTTGGTCTCGCGCAGTATCTGGCTCTGGCTGGGCGTGCTGGACTCAATCCAAGGTCTCGGCTTCGGTATCATCCTCTTGCAGACGCTCACGCGCACGCACATGCTGTTCACCCTGATCTGTTCGCAGGTGATCGGTTCGATCGCCACCATCTGTGCCCGCGCCTTTGGCCCGAACAATGTCGGGCCTGGTCCCATCTCCCCCGATCCGACCTTCGGTGCCAGCTCCGTGGCCAACGCCTGGTTCTGGGTGGCTCTGTTCTGTCAGCTTCTCGTCTGTGCTGGCTTCTTGCTCTTCTTCCGCAAGGAACAGCTGGCCAAGCCCTAGTCTTCTCTCTTACCCTCTCCTTCACCCTCACACTCCTTTTTTCCTTATCATCACTATCATCTCTGACGACATCACGTCACATCGATCCCTCCAATGTACATCTAATGATCCTGTATAGACGTTTTCAGCTTATGGGCTGACTAATTGCGCTTCCAGCCCTGACGAACTGCGAGTCAGGGTTCGCTTCTTGCTTTTTGTTGTTGTCTTTCTGGTTATCTTGTCTCCTTTTTCTCCATCGCCCCCGAGCGCTCATGGGTTCCGCAATCCGCCACCATATATACATGTATATATATACATCGCGCATCATCATTACCATTGATACCCAAATACATCTTGTGTTCAAGACGGTCTTTTTCAGAGCCAATTACTTGTAGCTTTGTAGGAAAGTAGGAGGTGGGTGGTTGTTGGGTGTTGGAGTCGTGGTTCTTTGTCCGACACTGGAACGCCAGGGCAGGGGTGATTATCGTAGGGTACCACTGGATAGAGCTTGTGAATAGGCGGATTTGTTCCAGTCTGTCCGCGGTTCGAGTAACATGTGTAACTTGATTACCCTGACTTTCTTTCTGCTTCCTCAGTTGTGGGTGTCCTGCGGGTTGGTAGCTGGAACTCCCGACCGTATTGCCACGGGTCAGGAGCAGGTATAGGCTATTCATGATCGAATGGCTGACAGCAGAGCAGAGCATATCAATTGGAACACTTGATTAGATTGTCATAGTGAAAGCCTTTCAGATACCAATGATTCGAGTTGTAGATCTCTACTGCTCGCCAGGTTACAGCTGCTGTCCGTGCAAGGTAGGGTTGGGTTGCCCGAGAGCAGCTGCGTGAGCACCTACGAATGTGAAGAACCCTGTTGGCGGAAGTGGCTCACCCACAGGAATTCGCCCATTGTATCGCCGTATCGTAGCTCGCACATTCTACATTTCTAATTCCAGAGAGCCTGTCGAGGATGTCGAGGACATAACCGGGCATTATGCTGTTCTGGCCCGAGAGTTGGTGAACTTTGCCGCGGCTCGATCGCAGAGTGGTGGGTTAGGACGACCAACGGGTGAATGCATTCCTTTACACCGGTCGCAAATCAGCAATCCTCGCTATATCTCATTCAGAAGTCTTGTATTAGCATGTAGAAAAGCTTTGTAGTTGGATCCCAGGCTGTAGTGACCATCTTCGTTCAAAAAAGTGGGAAAAAAATGGAAAATCTCCAGACGGGTTTCCTACGTGCTGCCCTGGCAGCTCCCGACCGAGCATGCCCGTTGCTGCAGTTGACCACCTCTCCAAGGCATCCTAAGCAGAACTTGGCATTTGCTCTCCAATCACCAATTGAGTTCGCCACCAATTGATTATGGAGTTTATGCCATCACCAGAGACACAGGTCACATCTACTCAGGATTCTTCAGACGCGCTGCGCAGCAATGGCTTTGATTGGCGGCTGCAGATGCCTGGCCTGGACCTGATGCGATCCTGAGTAAGTTTCAAGATTAGCTGAAATTACGCAACGATGAGAGCCTCGACTCGACCCCCGGCAGCCGGCTCAACATTTCGAGCAAAAGCCGAACGATCGGCGGAAAAGTCTACCGCAATGGCCGGGGGCATCCAAGGCAGATCGACGTGTCCCGCGACGTGTCTCAGGGGCACCCAGGGTTGTGTGAGAGAGATGGTCTCAATAAGCTTGTTTAGCCTGGCGACGGTGGCCGACTTCGGCCAGTGAGATGTGGGCGGGTGATCGATCGATCGCGGTAAGACCTGGGGTAATCCATGATGCTGGAACCCTAATTAATCATCCTACCAACAGCCATGATGCCCGCCCGCATCATCGAATTCGAGAAGACGGCGAGATTGCAAAGAATTGTGCAACTCTCCTGAGGATGACGCGACATCAACACTCCATACACACAGTACAGTACACACAGTACACACAGTACACACAGTATACACAGTATACAGTATACACACTACTCCAGACTGCAGAGAGTGGCGAAGCCATCGTCGTAACGGCGATGTCATCGCCACGTAGTTTCATAACCGCATTTGCTGCCTCCATGACCTCACCCTGACATTCTCCCTCCACCAACATCTCATCCTCAATCTTCTATAAAGAGGCCCTCAATTCCAGCTTCAATCACTTTCCCCTCAACCGCAACTACCTCCATGACCATTAAGCACAATATCAACAAACCAATCTTCCACTCTCGCATCTCAACTGTTCGATTTTCCGCCCAATCTATCAAAATGGCCGACAAGTACAAGCCCTCTGGTACAGTTCTTCCAATTCCCTATCGCTCAAACACAACTAACCCCAACAACAGAGCACGGTGGTCTCCGCGAGGACGGCCAGCCCGACAAGCGCACCCAGCAGTCCCAGTTCGCCTACGGCAAGGTTGACCCCCACAAGGCCGGCCAGGAGGGTGGCTCCATCGGCGGCCAGGCCACCGGCAGCCACAGCGGTGGCAGCGCCAAGGGCGAGTTCGCCCACGGCAAGGTCGACCCTCATGAGGCCGGCCGCAAGGGCGGCCAGACTCTCGGTGATGAGTAAATGCTCTTTAGACTCATCCATCACGATTTGATGATACGACCCGACTTGGAACATGACATGACTCTCGAATATACGATCAGGGATTGGTACATGTAATTTAGTGAATGAACAAATCATAACTCGAACATGCTTTCCGAATTGGGTAGATGTAGTTTGTAGATGTAAGAGTTGATAGATGGTGCAGAATGATTTCGTGACGCTGCAGCACGAAGCTGCATTCGTCAGTCCAGTTCGATTCTCTGGCTCGGCAAATTTAAGCTTCTAGCTAACCACGTGTTGATTAGAGCCAATGCCCATAAAGTGACGCATGCGACAGATGACACTACCGGGGATGAAACGAACTCGTTGCACACTGACCTACAGACGGTGTATGTCAAATTTAGTTCACATAATGACAGCTAAATGTATGTGGCAGGGTCATCCAGGTGAACAGGATTCCAGATTCTGAGCTCCTTCCACCACCGTGATCATTCCCAATCCGATTAGCTAGTAACCCCGGGCATAAATCACCACATTCCCAAAATAATTCAGTCAGCCACGGTTGCTCTTATGGCCCATCTTTACAAGGAAGCTTCATAAGTGTTTAGACACGGGTGTTGGTGGTGAGAGATTGAGCATCACCAAGCAGCCATCTATACAGGATATATGTACATCCGCACCAAATGGTAGGTAAGTGTACACCAAAAATGTACAGACCGAAGAATCCGACCAAAGGAGAGTAAGCTCTATCATCACGTCCACCAGGATACCTCATTTGAACGGCAACCCCGGCCCCAGACACGCATCCGCCCGCTCAAAATACCAATGATGCGCATCGAAGGCCAGCAAATCCGGGATCCCCAGCAGCCCCGTGTTTCCCTGGCTGCTATCCCCATCCGCATACACAACGACCTGGCTCGTCGTGACGGTGGCATTATCCGGGGCGGTGATGTGGTATTCGGGGCTGACGTGGGCGTACCCCATCAGCTGTAGCGGCAGATTCGGCACGGGGTCGTTTGTGTGCGTGAATCGATAGTTCTTCCCCTGGCCCTTTTGCTGGTCCTGAGCGGTGATGTGCTTGGCCAGAGCAGGGTTGGCCACGCGCGGCGAGGCGAAGGCGTAGAGGGTCGCCGTCTCGTTTTGCTGGTCGCGCAGGTCGGCGGCGGCGAGAGTCGCGATGGCCGCGCCCAGGCTGTGGCCCACCACCACTAGTTCGTAGTCGGGGTATGAGGCACGAGCGTCGGTGAGAGCTGCGGTCACATTCGCTCGGACATTGGTCCAGGCGCTCCAGAACCCCAGCTCGGCCTGGCAGCCCGTGCAGAGATGTGGGTCGGCGTAGAAGAAGGTCGCGTCCGTTAGCCAGTTTCGGACGGAATACGAGCCTCGGAAAGAGAGGATCAGGGCCTGGTGCGCGTGGTCGAGGGCGAGGAAGCCGGCGGTATCTGTTGCAGTGGTGCTGAGATCACACGGTTCACTTAGTATGGTGGTTTAAAGGGGCAGGGCTCATAGCAGGGACAGTAGGCATACTTGGAGAAGTCTAGCAGAATAGTCGCATCGGCTGCCTCAACCTGGGGACAATTGCCCGCCCAACAGGCCAACTTGTGGCCCGCCTGTGCGATGTAGTTGGACTCGCAGTAGGCGGCAGCTGCATATTGCACCCAGAAATCAAATGCGTTGAGGGCATCGACGGTGATTGTCGAGGAAGGATCCCGGGGCTGCTGCGAGGGAAGGGCGCTGCAGGTAGGTAGGGCAGACAGAGCTGCCGCCAGGTATCGGGGGAGATGCATGACGATGGCACAGAGGAGACCGTCATGGTCAACAAGGGGGAGATGCACCACGAGATATAATTGCTGGCAGTTCGACTCATTCTTGGATCGCGGGTTCGGCGATCACCGACTGAAACACACAAAAATGGGTGACTGCACGCGAACGGTGGATCCGTACCTCGGTTACCAGTCGACTCCGATCTCGATCCAGCAATGATCATCTCCACATGGGGGAATTGGATTTCCGACTATTGCTTGGAAGCACCCCTGGCTGGGCTATTTCGGGATTGGCAGTGGAGTCGTAACCTGACTTGTCCGAGTAGCAGGTGCCGATCGGGGGAATCCAAGAGGTTGACGAGTTACCGAGCTTATGCCCGAGGAACAAGAATGTGACAAGCGGGAGAAGAAGAATTGGATCTAGGAAAATTGACAGAGATAAGACGGACAAAGAGAGATACTTTCAGATCGGAAATTTCAGCTTTGCACAAAGACGTTGTCTGGATTCATAGCACTTTTGCTTTCAACATAGAGAGGTAGGACAGCGAAAAAAAATCTACAGAATCATAGAACAAAGAAGACAGATGCTAAAGAGCCTTAGCCAAACGAGAGTAAACCACTACAGGACAAGGGTGATTGCTATGGACAAATGAAGCAAATCCTAGAAGCTCCAGGAAGCGTCCACCGATTACATTCACAAAAGCCCAGAGAGCCAGGGATGAAGGACGAGCGTTCTTTATTTGGTTATCCAGCAGGATTATGCGAATATAGAATACGCAGCATCAGCTGCAGGAGCATTTTTTACCCGGACTATATAAGCAACAGTTGGGTCTATGTGTCTCCCTCACTCCGCAGCAACCACTCGATCCATATTGTGGATCTCACATCCCACTTATCCCAAAACTCAACACAGTCAAACATGATGAATGCACCGATAGTTTTTGAGATGCTCCCAGATAGCCGGCCTGCACCACGCTGGAGGCACACGTATGCAGATCATGTCGCGATGGTGGTTGACAAGAGATCCGGGACCCAATACGGATACGCAATAATAAAGCACCCGTACTGGCAGATGTACAGCATCTTCTGCGACGATGCAGATGTCCGAGATTCCCAGTGGATAGCAGTTCAAGAACTGCTCTTGACCGTTATCGAGCAAGGACGGAAGAAACACCCCGACCTGCTACCTTTGATGGGAAGTATTGAGACGCCCAAGTGGGTGCAGTTCTATCGAGAGCTGGCTCCAGACGATGATGACAAAGACAGAGCCTATGGCCTTTACCAGTACAACCTCGGAGGCAAGACGAGGTTCTTTAGAGACCAGGACGAGGACGAGCTGACACAGCTGTGGTATATAGCACCGGGCATCGACTTTGGCTGGAGCTTCAATTGAGTCTATTGCTTCCGTGCGGATAATCCAGGGAGAAGACCCTTTAATCAAGTTATCACGAATATCAATACTACTAATACTTGAACCTAAGTTTTGAACGGTTGGCTACTGATTCCAACGATGAAGCTAGATTAATAGCATCAACAATAAGCCCGATCTCTTGAAAGCAGGAGAGCGAACACATATGTCTTGACGAACAGGCATGTTCGCTCAAATTACCCCGGCTGTACTGAGGTGCAAACATCGGCCCCACCAGTGCTGGTATCATAACCTTGCAGAATATGTGGGTAATCTTAGAATGCCTATCCAGGGGTATCCGACTATTCCTCGCGCAAGCGAGCCGAAACCAAGGGGCTGCCATCCACAATGCGGGAGAAGTCATGGGCATCGAGACACGCTTGGCGGGAATTGACCACACTTGGCCCTGCTCGGGCAAGCACATCGTTCTCGTACGCCGTTAGAGACTTGCGAAGCTCGTCTATGCCGAGAGACCTGCTCAGTGCAATGAATTAGTACCAACGTCAGCGATGCATACATCGACAGGTAGCGCTGGACACTCACCCCAGGGATCGCAAGTCCACTCGCTTCGTCAAATCCAGGACATCGACAATGGCATTGTTGGCCCCCTCTCCGCGGACTACGTTTATTTTCCGATCAGCAAGTCACAATGCCGATCAGGGGTCATCATCATGCGGAAACATACACATCGTCATCGTATGAGCCGAGTCGCCCATTAGCACCACCCGTGGATGGGCAGTGCCTTGCCCTGATCGGAACAGCCAGTCGGCAATGCGGATGGATCGCACTTCGGTGCTCTCGGGCAAGTGATGAACCAGGCCTCTGAAGGGCTCGACCCAGTTCGCGGTCAAGGACTTCATCAATGCGAGTCTCTCGGCATTGTCACTGGGAACGGGGATTCCCTTCTCATCGGACCAAGATACGATGATCTGGCAGAGGTATTTGTCTTTGTCGCTCTCGTCGAAATTATTGGGTGTATCGAGCACTGCGGGCATTCGAGCAGTCCCTTGGTCAGCAAAAGGCTCCTTGACGGCGGGGACAACGATTCACCTACAGCTGAAAAAGAAGAAGATGTTTGTATCTGGATGCGAGCCCTGGAAGATAAAGGGGTCGATGGTCTCCGCTCCGCCCATCTGCTCCGCCGAATAGAGGGCAGCTCCACCCAGCAGCTGCACGGGCAGGGGGTTCATCTCGTGGCCCTCAGGGTACACGATCTCACGTGTGCGGGAGCGCGATCCATCGCACCCGACCAGCAGGCAACCCGTGTACGAGGTCCCATCTTGGAAATGTGCGGTGACGCTTTCGGTCGTGGAATCGATGCTCGTGAGAGATTTGTTCCACTGGAGACCGAGATCGGTGGCCAGCAGCTGCCTCAGTCGCACGCGGCTGACGCGGATCCGTTCGGCGGCGGGGACGCTGTACAAGGCCGATCCCGTGCGAAGATCAAAGAACTGGAAGCGCCCCGTGTCCCCTCGTATGGCAGCAGCTTTGTTCACATACGTCTCCGGCAGACGGGCCACGAGGTAGTCAGGGAGGAGTTCGCGCAGCGCCGGGAGACCCCAGTGGAGGGTCAGCCCCCAGCCACCACTCCGCGCATCGATCGAGCCATCTTGTTCGAAAAGCAGATATGGGATTTGATGTCGTTGAAGATACTGAGCCAGCAGGAGGCCGCTGATGCCTGCACCAGCGATGAGCACGGGGAGATCAGCCATGGAGGGAAGCAGAGGAAAGGAAGGGTGAGGCAGATGCACGGGCTGTATGTCTGTCTGCACAGGACAGGTTTTGCTCATCCCTTGCTTTTCACCCGACGTATCATTGACTGATAGACGGCTAGCCGCGGTGGACTGACAGCCACAGCTTTCCCGTGTCTCTGACTAATATAAGGGGGACACCGTCGATCGTGTCTTTAATTCATTTCTTCCCTGCTGCTTTACAGACAGCTGAAGGCTAAGAATCCTGGACTAGCAGGGATGGTAAGGAGGCAGAGGATAATGAGACAGTTACCAATATACAGTCTGGCACCACCACGGGCCACTAAAGAGTACTAAGAAGTCATCGGCCCCTCACCGGTCGGAAAAAGACCCACAAACTGTCTCTAGTCTATGAGCCTAACAAAAGTTGAGTACGGAGTTTACTGTAGTTACAGTGGCACACAAGGCCGCGGCCGAGCACGGGATGGGGTCAACCCCGGCATTAGCCCTCAGTCCGTCGTCCGCCAGTGGATGCTTCAATCCATTCATCCCCCCACTATCACAGGCAACAACAGCACAGGCGTGGAAATAATATAGTACTAGTGTAATATCATCTCCCTAATTCGGTCCCTTCTCGGGGAAGTGTGACCGATCCCGAGCACGGCTTAATCCAGCCAGTGCCATCACCACCGATTGGACCGGGAGAAACCTCGACCCAGTCAACCTTGCTTTAGTTCCAATCCACGACCACTTTCGCCCTATTCTTATTTGCAGCCAAGCTGCTAAATATTGGCAGGGTTCATACCTTATTGACACTAGGAAATCTGGGTTTCGCCGACCGGTGAGTGATTAATCAAGTAAATAACACCAAAAAGATTTAGGGTGGCCACGCTGTTAGTGATCTTTCGCGGACTTTTCCTCCAGCGAGACGCGCAACTCCACTGTCATATGAATGCCCCCTTCCTCGAGCCCCCCACTTTCCAAAATCAGCTCTTCGCTGGGAGTCCGTCGTGGGCGTGGAGCCGCCGAGGTGGTGGACTGGAGCTGGGAGCGTGGGTGTTTCGACCAAGACTGCAAGGCATAACTCTGCCCGTCATAGCGTTTCTGGTCACTGTGCGATCGGAAATCACGCACGGCGCCCTTGAGCAGAGGTGCAAGGAAGGGAATGCATGTCACGATGTTCTGGAAGGGGTCAGTTGGTCAGGAGGGTTGGATCCATCCACCGAAAGGACCACAGGCACTCACCCCGACGTTGAACTCGATGGTGCCCCACAGGACTAACATGGTCGAATTCCCGTCTCCATATGCCACCCGGTGGATCTGAGCCAGTCGCAGGATGGAGCAGATGGTGGTGAAAAGTCCCAAGAGGAACAAACACACCACGCCCGCTTTCTGGGCGGGTCTAATATTGAGCTGCATGAGCAGGGGGATGGGTAGAATGAGGATGGTCACGTCGCAGATGATGGTGAACGCGGCCAGTCCATAGAAGGTCGGGCCCGAGGGAAGACACGATCCAGCTGTTGTAGGGTTCCATGCCCGTTTAACCTGTCCAGCGTCGTCGGTCAGTCTGGTCAGTCGCTCTCAACTTTCTCGTCTTGGACATACTGGATGGCAGTTGAAAATCAGCACTAATGCCCCCACAAGGTGACCAGCGGTGGAGAGGGTGATTGTAACCCAGATGAGCATTCTATACAGTGTCTTCGACGTCCCAGAAATCAATCGCAGGTAATTCAAACATAACGAAGCCTTGAACCCGGCGATACCGACTTGGTAGAAAGGTCGACCGGCATAATTGAGCTATGAACTCTTTCGTCAGCTGGTTGCCTACTGTTGAGACTACAAGCAAAAATACCTTGGTGTACTCGGGCAGATCCTCCTTTGGTCGCAGCTTCAGAGGTAGCCCCAGACCGTACCTGCTTTCTACTATGTTCAGCTCGCTTTCCGACCGACAGACGGGAATAAAAAAGAAGGTCACTCACGAGCCATACATAGTGCGCTGTAGATAATGCTGAAGACCTAGTACACCACGGGTGAGCGGCGGACAACAACACATAGCCTTCATTTGATGAGTGTACCATAGTCATCACCATCACATAGTCGGAGGCTTCCAGCCGACGAGCGTGGAACCGAATAGCCAAGCGTAGGCAGACGATGATGAACATCGACAGGGTCAGGCCTAAACATACCCCCAGTATCAGGCGATATTGCGATGCTGCCTCCACCTCGGGCGAGGCATGGTGCACCCAAGTCATGGTCAAACTGGCTGCAGGAAAGCAATCGCACAGTGGAGGGGACCACGAGTCTTAACTACGTTCTCAATGTTCACACCACGGCAAGCAATGATGCAGCTCTCCTGCAGCAATTAACCTTGATGTGCTCAACCCAGGGTGTGAAACTAGTGCGCTGGCGAAGGACGACCGGCCGTCTTCCTGCATGCACTAGACCAAGTAATTAATTTGGCAATAGATTATGCCTCATGCAACCTGCCGGCCTCGACTAAATGAGCTGGTTGCACCAATGCCATTCCGGTGCGTAACACAATATCCCGCACGAAAGAATTTTCCATTTAGAACCCCTCTTCCCCCTGGTGTCAAAACCCAATTTGCTTTTCCCTCCTCGTTGCCTGAAACCAAGTCAAGATGGAGGAGAAACAGCCCACTTCTCAGGCCTTGCCTACCGCCGATCGCACTGATGATGCGGTGGAATACCTCCAGGGCCACATGGCCGGGGCTGGCACCCCTCGGATGGATCTTCGAGCCCTCCGTCGCAAGATCGACTTCCGCCTTATTCCGTTCATGTTTTGCTGCTATGTCTTGCAGTTCCTCGACAAGGTGATGCTGAATTATGCCGCGGTGATGGGGATGAAGAAGGACCTCGGCTTGGCAGGGAACGAATACACCAACACAGCCACCTGGTTCTTCCTGGCCTACCTGATCGCTGAGGTGCCCAACAGTAAGTCGAGTCCCTGCAGCCATGTATGGTGTCTGATCGTGCGCTTACTCACTCGCCCTTCCCCAGCCTACTGCCTTCAGAAAGCGCCCGCTGCGAAATGGCTGGGAGCCAATGTTACCTTGTGGGGTGTTGCTGCCGCCGCATCGGCTGGAGCCACCAACTATCCAACCCTCTTGACTGCGCGTGTCTTCCTGGGCATATTCGAGGCGACGATCGGTCCATCGCTGATGCTGATCAGCAGTCAATACTATACCAAGAGTGAACAGGCCCCACGCTTTACCTTCTGGTACAACGGATTGGGAGTCGCACAGATCATTGGTGGACTGGTTTCATTTGGCTTCCAGCATGTGGAGCATGCGGCGATGGCTGGATGGCGCATCATGTTCCTCGTCATCGGCCTAGTCACCGTCGTTGTCGGCGTTCTCACTTTTCTGCTGATCCCGGATACCCCCATGGAGGCGACGTGGCTGTCCGACGACGAGAAGATTGCCCTCCTGCAGCATGTCAGTGTCAATCAGACGGGGGTTTGGAGTCGCAAGTTCAACTTCAAGCAGATCTGGGAGGCTTTGCTGGATGTGCAACTCTGGTTGCTGACCTTGATCACCATCCTGGTAAGGACATCAGATGACCGCGTCTCCACTCTTTCTTCAGAAGCTCATTCTTGATAGATCTCTGTATCCAGCGGTGTGGTCACCTCGTACTCGGCGACTCTCATTGCCAGCTTCGGCTACCCGGGCCCGATTTCGGCCCTGCTGAACATGCCCTCCGGCGTTGTCAGCATCTTCTTCACCCTGCTGGTCGGAATCGGCATCCGCAAGACCTCCCATCGCTGGGCGTGGAATATTCTCTGCACCATTCCCGGGATCATCGGGGGCGCTCTGCTCTCCTTCTTGCCCAAGAGCGACAAAGCTGGCGTGCTGATCGGGATCTACCTGGTCAACGCAATCGTGGCGACCCTGCCCATCCTGTATCAATGGACGATGGCCAACTGCGCGGGCCACACCAAGCGCGCCTTCGGGAGCGCGCTTGTCGCGGGGTCATTCTCGGTGGGAAACATCATTGGGCCCCAGACGTTTCAGGCGCGCGATGCCCCCGAGTATCGGCCGGCCAAGATTGCGGTTCTGGCCACCCAGGCGGCCGCTGCGGTCATGTCGGCGGTGCTTTTTGCGTATTATGTGTGGGAGAATCGGAGGCGGGATCGGAAGTACGGGAAGGTCGAGGACGCGATGGTGGAGGAGGCCAAGTGGGCAGGGCTGACAGATAAGCAGAATAGCCGGTTTCGGTATGTGTATTAAGATTGGGTGGCTGGATATAGTGTGACCAAGATGCAAAGGTTACTTGACAAGCGTCTCTTGACGGTACGTGATGCGTAGGCTGACAGCTTACTGTTGCTTTCGTGTATGATTCAAGGCTTCTGCTAATCCCGTCGGGATGTGTTGCCATAAGGCCAACGTGCTGCCTCAGGCCGCAGGAAGTGTGTGGCTTGTTATGGGAGGGGATGTGGCGCGATTACCCCACCAAATGTGGCTGAAGCCGAGTCCATATGGATATGTACAAATGATACCTGACAGTGAAACCATGGTCCAACCGAGCCCCACAGCCCAAGCCCAAAGCCCTCAATGCCTTTCATGGGAAGACCAGCTCGCTTCACGTCGAGCTTCTGCGCCGACGTTGCTATGAGGGGCATCTGCTATCAGCCTTGCTGTTCATAGTGGGGCATTGCTATGTGTTCATTGAATATGGCACTGGTGGGGCTTGCCTCGGGAGATCTCCCTTATTTCCATCAGTTAATGTCAATCTCCTGGAAAAGTTTAAGCAAGTCATCGGACATCAGCATCGAAACTGAGTGACTAGTGAGCAGCACGGTGATTTGGCTTTCAAGTGAGCTAGCGATAATGGAGATCCCAGGCATGAGGGGAGGTGACTCGATGTCTTTCATACCTACACACGGTTTTCTCCTTCCACACTCTCATAGTATAACCAGATAGCCGGTATCTCCCGGTTCACAGTACTACCAATTCTAAAAGATTCCACCGTCTACCACCGGACTGACATAAATACTTAGTAAAAAGTCCGGCATCTATAGATTCTCACGCAAATCCAATCCTTTCCAAACATTTGATATCATCCTGACCCATATCATCTTGACTGACACCAACCATCCTGGGCTATCCCTTTCTGAGCTATACCACCCTGATACTATCCTTTCTGAGTGATATTGTCCCCATTCATATCATACCCACTGATACCATACCCACTGACCATCATGGCCGAGACAACCGAGAAGCTGGGTTACTGGGCGCACTGCCTGGGCCAGATATTCCCTTCACACGAGGGCTTTGACGTAAGTATCGAGAGCCCCAGGCCTACCCCTAGCGAGTGGGAAGTGTGGTCCCCCTACCAGAAACTCATGATCTCGCACCAACGGGGACCCTTCCTTGTGTTCATGGTGGCCAACCCGGGCTCCTGGCAAGAACTAGAACATAGCCTCTTCCAACAAATGATGGCCCTGGGGGAGACCCCTTGGAGTAGGCGCCGCGGCGTCATCGCGAACGGAGTTCTCGTTCGATTCTACCACTTTCAGGATCCCAGGTCCCTGATTCTTCGAGCAATAGGTGATCCATCGAACAATTATTTCGAAGATGCAAAGGACAAGGCAGACATCGAGAAGCGATTGACATTCTACAAGTTGGCAGCTCAAAGAGAGTGGCTTAGCCAGAACACGTCATCGCCGTGATGCCTATGTTTCCTCCAACTTCTCCGATACGTTCTGGATAGTTGTGCTATGTGACTATCTTAGATTACTATATAAATGTGAACAAGAACACATTTTCAGTCAACGTCTTCTTTCCATCTGTAAATGCGACGCAAAAGTATTCCAAATGAGATAGGCCAGACGTAAGGTGCTCAGTGTTTGATAGCTACACAGACTCTTCTGATGTGATTCGAAATCTTATACTCGGTAATCTACATGCGTACCTGGTAAACAAATTATTTTTAAACTAGGCTTGTGCTGTGCAGGACCCCGCACTAAACTACATTTGGATCCCGTCAAGCCCCACTGCGCCATGTGCCATCTCACCCCGCTTTTTCTGGGACCATCCGAACAGTCACTGCCACCGTCGACCGTCGACCACCGGAAAGTGAGAAGCTTCAAGTGCTAATAACACTTCCTTCGGTTCGATCTGATGCGTTTGGTGCTTTTGCGCTTACAGCTGCCGCAGTGGCGGTGCACGACATCCTATCGCTCTCACGTTCAGATAACTCCACAGAATATCAAACATGCGTCGACAACGAAATTGATCTGACAGGCCTGCAGACAGAAAGGCTTGTCAAAGGAGACTTGTTACCCTCTACAAGGCCAATGAGTTTCAAGAATTCGAAGAACTCTCGGCACGTCTTTCGAGAAGGAAAATGATGGGAGTCTGGCAAGATAAGCTGTCGAGGTGAGCGGAGAGTGTAGGCATCTAGAACGGGATCAGAATCAATATCAATGAGGCAAGAAGCTCGCACATCATCAGGTCATTGTTCAGGACCCTGTTCTAATTTTGATTTGCAAGGTAAGTAGCATAGGGGTGAGTAGCAACCCCGAGGTACATTAAGTTGGCAATGTTGGTAATCTGCGACCAATGGGAAGGAAGGCAGTGCACGTTTGATCACCTGACGAGGAAAGAGAAGGACCAGAGCCAAATATTCTGAGTCATTCTGGCTCATACCGGCATGAAGTCGGTGCTGAAAATACGAGCAGCTAGCCAAATACTTGCATATGGCCTTTTAGTGAGGAAGCTATACAGACGGCGGTGTGAGGATCGACTCCCCCGGACCTCCGACGGGGAAACTGTGGGGGCAAAACCGCTCTGTGCGCATGAGCATAGATTGAAAACCTATGAGTCAATCGCAACGAAAATGGCCAGAACAACGGCAGACTCAGACCCACGGCCTATCAAATCCTGCGTCCAAATCAATGCATTTTAATGTATGAAGGATTCTGAGCTGATTGGGCACCGCCCTTATCTTGTCAGCGCTTGAGTCGCTAGTTGCGTAATGCTCGCAATCCATCCTTGCTTCTGAGTCAGCCGGAGAGTCAGCCACCACCAGACAAGACTAGACAAGACTTTGCGCCATTAGACCCGGCCAAGACGTATTCAATAAGGTCTTGCAGCCTTTTCGGCCTTTTGCTTCTGAGTTCGTTCTTTTTTTTTTTTTCTTCCGTCTTATGTCTTGTTCTCGCATCTCCCCAGCGAGAGGGCACACCAAAGATGCTCTCGCATAACTCCCAAGCCTTAACCATAGGCTCCGTGGCCCTCGTGTTAACGACCCTCAGCAGTATTCCGGCCGTGAAGAGCATCGCTGCGCGCACCCGCCGTACCCTAACCGAGCGAGATGACCCCGCCACCGAAAAGGCCGCTTATCATGACGAGGACGGTGTGGCGACGGAGGAATCGCTTCTCAAGTTCTCGGATACCTGGCAGCGTGCCGCCATCATCCTGTTTTCTTCGACTGGGCTTCTTGCGACACTGGGAATTGCAATCTTGACCACATTGAACTCCCACACGAAGAACCCGCTCTTCGCGTGGCTTCAGTTCGCCATTTGGGTTTGTACACACCACAAACTTGGGGAAAACGTGATATTGGCTCGGTTTGGCAGCTAATGTCCTGTATCTTAGCTACTGCTTCTTTTCCAAGGAGCCGTTTTCTTCGTCGAGCCCAAATCGACGGAACGATACACTCTGGGTCATTTCGCCTTCCTGGGTAGCCTCTTCACGATCCTTGCCGTCGGCTTCGAGCTTTACAGCAATGATCTGTTTCGCAATAGTATCACGGACGATGAATTGTGGCTCAGTCTGACCACCGTTCAGCTTGCAAGTGCTGTTCTAAGAGCGTTGGCCAGCATCCTGCTTCCCCGTCGCCCGGATGTCTTTCACGACGGTATTTTGATCGACAGAGAATTCTCGGGATCCGCATTGAGCCGATATTCATTCGCCTGGGCCAGTGGCCTGCTCAACTACACCGCGAAGAACCGCACGCTGGCCCTCACGGATTTGCCTAAGCTTCGAGCCCAGACACGAGCAGAAACCCTCCATCCTCGCTTTGAGCAAGCCAAGCAGTCTCGTAAGACATGGCAAGCTATCGTCCGGGCGCACTGGCCAGCGATACTCTCGACCCTGCTTCTCACTCTGCTGGTGGGTCTTTTGAGCATCGGCCCACAGATGGCGCTTCTCAATATCCTAGAAGCCTTGGAGGCCCGAGGAAGCGGCGACTGGGACCCGCTGCGGGCAACATCCTGGATTATCGGCCTGGGATCCCTGATGATTATCTATTCGCTGTTTGAGGCTTGGCTGTTATGGGTGGTATGTGCGAAGCTCTTCATTCCCATCTATGCGGAGATCTCAGCCCTAGTTTTCGCCAAGTCGATGCGTCGCAAAGACGTCAAGAACGTCCAAAAGTCGAAGGAAAAGTCCAATGCGGAAAGCACAACAGAAGCTGGATCGGGGACCAAGGAGGAAGAGGAGGAGCTCGATGATGAGGCGGCCGTGAAAAAGACGCGACAGAGCATTATCAACCTGGCCGCCGTCGACGGAAGACGCATCACTCAATTCACCACATTTGCCTACCTCATCCCATCCTCCATCTTCAAGCTAATTCTCGGGTGTGGCTTCTTGATCAAAATCCTAGGATGGCGCAGCGCTCTGTCCGGCATCGCTGTTGCGGTCTTGGTCACACCTTTGAACTCCTTCGCAGCCAAACGCTACACGGGCGCTCAGGTCAAGCTCATGAAGATGAGAGATCAGAAGCTGGCCATTGTCACAGAGGTACTCCAGGGAATTCGCCAGATCAAGTTCTCGGGCCTCGAAGCACAGTGGGAAGCCCGGATCCGGGAGGCGCGAGAGAAAGAATTGAGCGCTCTGTGGAGGTCGTTCTTTTTCGACATCATTCTGATGGGCATCTGGATCCTTGGGCCCATTGGCCTCTCTGCAGTCTCGTTGACAGTCTATGCCATGCTCCATGGTGGCCTCTCTGCCTCGGTCGCATTTACTGCCATGTCCGTCTTCAGTTCCCTCGAGCTTTCCCTTGCCATCTTGCCCGAGATCATCTCCCAGGGCCTGGAGGCCAAGGTCAGCGCGGACCGAATCGATACCTACATGGCCTCATCCGAAAGGGTGATTACTACCATGCCCGCCGATGAAGTCGCGTTCAAGGATGCCTCGGTCGCATGGCCATCGGAGCAGGAAGCTGGAACCGCAGAGGACACCGATCGCTTTGTCCTACGCAATCTCGACCTTGCCTTTCCCAACCAGGGCCTCAGTATCGTGTCGGGTCGCACAGGGTCTGGCAAAAGTCTACTCCTGGCTTCGATCCTTGGGGAAGGTGACTTGCTTCAGGGAACAGTACATGTGCCTGTACCACCTTCCATTGAAGCTCGGTTCGATCATCGGGCCACGAGTGCCGATTGGATCATCGATTCAGCCATTGCCTATGTCGCTCAAATCCCATGGATTGAGAACGCAACAATCAAGGATAATATCTTGTTCGGACTGCCCTACGATGAAAAGCGTTACCGGAAGACTATCTCTGCGTGCGCGCTGCAGAAGGACCTGGAGATGTTGCCCGATGGCGATCTGACCGATATCGGAGCGAACGGGGTCAATCTTAGTGGTGGCCAGCGATGGCGAGTCTCGTTTGCACGCGCCTTGTATTCGCGTGCGGGCATCCTTATCATGGACGATATTTTCAGTGCTTTAGATGCTCATACCGGGCGTTATGTCTACGAAAACGCACTCACCGGTGAGCTTTGCCGGGGCAGAACGCGCATTCTGGTGACGCATCATGTTGGCCTGTGTCTTTCTCGCGCGGACTATTGGGTGGAATTGGAAGATGGAAACGTTCGCTATGCTGGCCCGGTCACTGAGGACAAACGCTCAAATCACCCAGGGCACCCTCTAAGTGGGGGGGATGGCGGTGATGTGATAGCGCTCATCGAAGAGGAATCCGTTGAACAGGTAATCTCCCATACTTCCCATCGGCGGCTTAGTACTGTACAGCAGGAGACGACAGCCAAGCCGGCTGCGGCGAAGAAGTTTGTCGAGGACGAAAAGCGAGAGGTTGGCTCTGTCCGATTTTCAGTTTACAAGGCCTATTTCTCTATCGGCGGCCACAGACTTCGATGGTACATCACGGCGATTGTATTTCTCGGTTACACTTCCTTCTTGGTCGGCAGGGTAAGCATCAACACGCACCTTCTTAAACATCAGTATATGCCATCGGACTTGGACTGACTGACATTTCTCACAACCATAGTCGTGGTGGATTAACGTGTGGACTGGCTCGTCATCGTCATCGCAGACCCATGCCAGCCTCAAACAGTACAGCATGGTTATGTGGCAACAGCCTATATCGAATGTCAACACAGCACCCATAGACTCAGACCTCAAGATGTACCTAGGGATCTATATCGCAGTCAGTGTGCTTGCATGCGTGATGGGCACCCTGCGCTTCTACTTGATCCTCTCGATGAGTGTCCGCGCAGCCCGCAATCTCTTCAACCGCCTGACATACGCCGTGCTCCGTGCTCCCATGCGCTGGCTGGATACTGTACCGCTGGGTCGAATCTTGAACCGTTTTACATCCGACTTTAATTCCGTGGATTCGATCATCGGATACCAGCTAGCCTTTGTGGTGACGCAAATGCTTAATGTCTGCGGAATCGTGGTGGCAGGCGTTCTGGTCAGTCCGCTGGTGATTATCCTCGCCGTGATCCTTCTGGTCGTTTGTCTCAGCCTGGCCCTGAAATACTTGGCGGGGGCGCGAGAGGTCAAACGCCTCGAAAGTACTGCCAAGAGCCCTATCTTCGAGCATTTCGGGTCCAGCCTGGCGGGACTAGTCACCATTCGCGCATTCAGCAAAGCAGATGTCTATACGGGCATGATCTACAAGAGGATCAACGCGCACGCGCAAGCCTGGTGGGCCATGCTACTGTTCAACCGATGGCTGACTTTTCGCATGAGCGTCGTTGGCGCACTCTTTGCCACGTTGACTGCGGCTTTGATTGTGAGTCTGCCAAGTATCTCAGCCTCGCTCGCCGGGTTTGCACTTAGCTTCGGGTTGCTATTCAACACGGCGATTGGTATGGCGCTACGGAGCTATGCAGATGTCGAACTCAGCATGAATGCGACCGAACGAGTCATCGAGTATTCCAAGATCGAACTCGAGAACCAGGGCGGCGTTGAGCCTCCCGCGGCGTGGCCTACCGAGGGTCGTCTGGAGGTCCAGGATCTGGTCGTAGGATACGCGCCTGATTTGCCTCCGGTTCTCAAGGGTTTAAGTTTTGCTGTTGAGAAGAACCAACGAGTTGGCGTCGTTGGTCGCACGGGTGCTGGAAAGTCGTCATTGACTCTGGCTCTGTTCCGAATCCTCGAGGCCCGCGAGGGTAAAGTCTTGATTGATGGGCTGGATGTTGCTAAACTTACGCTGCACAGCCTGCGCACTCGGCTCGCTATCATCCCTCAGGATCCGGTCCTATTCTCCGGCACTGTGCGGTTCAACCTTGACCCTTTCGAGGAGTATACCGACGGAGAACTGTACGACGCCCTGGCACGGGTACATCTCATTTCCGAGAACGAGGGGGAGGTCGCTACAGCTGCCGACCCCACAGGTCCAACGCATCGTCCAAACACAAACAAATTTACCTCGCTGTCTGCTCCAATCTCAGAAGGGGGTCTGAATCTGTCCCAAGGCCAGCGTCAACTGCTCTGCCTTGCGCGCGCAATTGTATCGCGCCCGAAGATCATGTTCTTGGACGAAGCCACATCGGCCGTAGACATGGAGACGGATGCCCTCATTCAGCAGTCCATCCGCGCCGAGTTCGGCCGCAACGATACCACGCTGCTGGTAATCGCGCACCGACTGAGTACCATCGCAGATTTTGACCGCATCTTGGTCATGGATGCCGGACGCGCGGTTGAATTCGGGGCACCCAAGGAGCTACTGGGGATCGAGAACGGGGTGTTCAGGAGCTTGGTAGATAACAGTGGCGAGAAGGAAGTGTTGGAAAAGATTATTCTCCGGGATGACTAGACAGCTGGGGTCGCCGGAACAGCGATGGTCCAGCACATCTGCTTTTTCAAGATCTGATGAAAGTGATACATGTATCTAACATCTAATGCTCATCCGCCTGGATTCACTCTCGGGTGTATTGCAAGACTGCGGGCATTAAAAGGCCAAATAAAAGCGAGCAGGAAGAACAATAGAAAGAACTCGAGGGGCTAAAGATCAAGATATCATGGCATTGAGCACTTCATATAGGTATAGCCTGGATTAGCTAAACCAGGCAACTATCTACAGGAGACAAAACAACGCATAAAACGTCTTATGACGATACGACCCCTGACCCCTGAACACTACAGGTCGCATGCATCCCCGACCTCATAACCAGCCATCCTCTCCGGCGCCAGCCCTTCTTGCCGTCCCGGCGTTTACCTTTCCCATCGCTGATTTCGGCGGGACTGCTCCTGTGGGAGTCCAAAGAAGCGAGGAATGGAGAATCAATGCCGGAGACATTGAGGAAGGCGGCGATATTCTCGATATCCAAGAGAAACGCGCGGTGAGTGGTGTCTTTATTTCACTATGTTTCGGGTCTTTGTGGCTCAGAATCCATTGCCAGGCACCCTACGAAGTCGCCCACTGACCTGACGACAACAGGCTACTATTACTTGCAGCTCCAGGACCAACAAGCCCAAGACCAAGTTCAAGGCGGCCACCACAACCGCCGAAGCACAAGCCAAAGCCGGAGGGTTTGCGACGAACACCAAGAGCGGCTACCCTCACCAGTACCAGAACAATGATAAGCTCAAGTGGAGGATCGAGCTATGTGACGCCTCGCCAGAAGGCACAGATATCAAGCTTCTGGAGTATCCGATCTACTGGACAGGAGTTAAAAAGAAGGCGTGGACTAAGGATAAGAAAAACTACAACCAAGGGTGCGATTGGAAGACTCCCATCCGAGTGGTATATTTGGATGGGACCGACAACGAAGTGGTCTACTGTGGTGTTATTATCTATGCAGGTCCAACAATCCGGTTAAGGGTTACTTTGTTAAGTGTTCTTGAGGGGCTTTCCCTTCCGCATTGTGTTCGGTCATGTTCTCGTTCTGATTGTTTTTGTTCTGCGTTCTGGAATATATCGATATCTGCCTCTTCTGGATTTCTCTTCCCTGCGCTGCGTACTGTATAGAAAATAAACATTAAGTTATATGCTGCATTCTTGGCGCAATAATTGAATTTCATTCTTGCCTCTCCCAGATTTTGCTTGTTTGATTTGCATTCCCGACCGTCTCATTGCCCACGTAATATATGTCTACATCAGCACAAGGCAGTAAATGCTTCTGCCAAGAGAATATCCAGCCTTACTCCAGTTTTCAGAGGTGCGTCGGCTTGGACTCACGGACAGCCTCAATTAGTGACCTACTTCTCTTTGTTCCTGTGTGCTTGAGTGCATAGCACATGGAAATATGTGCGCCTGGGATCTTGAGCCATTGTGGTCTAAGCTGCGTGGCCTGAAATACTCAGTATCAGCCACAGCCAGATTAGCAGAATCATTCTGCCCAAATTGTATGTATGAATGGAAATGTCCTTCAATTTTGTCCGCTTGAGGACCACAAGCTCCACCTCCACGGGGCACCTGCTGGCTACAGCTAAACCACCAGAGAATTAAGTCCGTTCCAATTCGGAAGAGGGATCTACATGAATGATTTGCACGCGGACAAGAACGAGAAAGGAGGCGGAATTACCGCTTCCCTCAACAAAAAAAGCCAGATTTATAGCACAATACACCCGCCTGCCGTGCAGCTTTGGGGGTATGACTTGCTAATCCATGAAGCAAACTGACAATAGCGCACAATCTACAAGTATCCTAACCCACGGGTTCTCCACCGGACTCATATAGTTCAATCCGACAGGATCAAACAAAATCGTAAAGCAAACACACCACCTTGATACTACTCATCGTGAGTATATAAAACCATTAAGTGCTTATGCAACCGGCGACCTCTCCAGCCCTCAGCTATCGATCGTACTGACAACCCTCCTCTCTCTGATCGTCTTTATTGTCTTCCCCCCAACCACATCTTTCTTACTTGTAGACCAATCCTGTATGTAGCCGTCTTTTCAGGACAATGCACCCAGCACGTAACCCTTCTCCTTTGGACAAGACTCTCTTCCACTTAAGCAGGAACTCTTTCTTATTCATGTAGTCTCACCTCGCGCCAGCGGCACCCACTTACATTCTCCCCTGAACTTATCGCGACAGGATATCCTCCAACTCTGCATCGTATGACACTGCCACGACCAGGGCAAGGATCAGGAAAAGTTGTATATGGGTTCAAACTGAATGAGCAGCATTCATCTGTATCCGGTATGTCTCATTCAGGCGCGCTATGTTTCAATTTTCGTAGTCATTAGACATGACGCGCAGATAGCAGGTAGACAAGACTTGAGAGATTACACCCAGGTTGCTGGGTCGGCCATCGGCAAGTGTGTCGCACGCCGGCCGGAGTGTAGATACTTCTCCGCGAGAGGAAGAATTCATGTTATCTTCAAGCAACTCATCAACGTGAAACCTCGGTGCGAGCCTACGTACGTGGTTCCTAGATCACAGTCGGGGAAGAAGAGTCAGCTGGAGGCCGCGAGGCAGAGATGCTACGGGGCGGAACAACGAAATCACGTTTTCTCCCAAGCATTCCCAACTTTAACAGTGTCTACAAGGAATGGCCGCGACACTCGCGTGCAGTTCCTCCAATCGAAGATCTTGTACATGATACAGCGCCCACTTCACCGTCCGTATTCTCGGTCAGCACCGTCTCGTGTATTTCGGTCGCCATGGGTTTATCCTTTGCCGTTCCGTGTTCAAAGGGGGCCGGGAGGACGAGCCACTCCAGCGGAGCTCAAGGGCTGAAAGATCGAAAAGACCCATCATAACCTGCCCCACGGGTTAAGCTGCTGTTGACTGCGGAAAGAGTACGTCTTTTCAAACCTCAGGGTGTGTGTCATCCCTGATTCTGTGGTCTGGACGCTGACGCCCTCCAGGCTTCCTCAGAGACGAACGGGACAGGCGCCGGAGCGACTTAGATCCTCTTCTTTTCTTAGAGGCTGAAGAAGGACAATGGGTGTGCAAACAGAGGCAGCAACAATAACGAGACGAAGAAAGATTGACCACCTCAGATATCCCCATCCAGTGTCCAAATCTGGAGCGTCAGAATGCCTAGTCTAAACGCACGCCTCGCCAAGGCAGGATCCGGGAAAGGGGTGTAACACTCCGGAGATGGTGAGAGCCACAACAGCCTCCAACCCCTTTCCAGCCCAGGTTCGCCGAGAGCGACGCGGTTTTCCTGAAACGATCATACGAACAGGATCCCTAGGAGAAACCGGTCTCAAGACTGGATTTGGCGTGGATGAAAAGGATTTTTGTATCAGATGTGGTAAACTGACGGCCTAGTTATCCTCAGACCTGACGAGGTTGTATATCGTGCTGCGTCCAACACGAGAACACACCAAGATTTGCCAGCCCCAACCTTGTCAATGCTGTTAGTGATTGTGGCAATCGAATCCGTGTTCGGGATGTCCGCTGTCGATTACTGGAGATAATCGTACAGGACACGTAGACGCCTCATTCAAACAGAGAAAGTCTTCTCTTGAGCAGGCACGTGGAGTCGACCAGTGGCGGAAAGAGCACGTATCCTGGTCAACCTCGGGTGCCCAGTGAGATAAATGCTGATAAATCGAGTTTGAGAGCACGAGATCAGCCAGTTAAAGACCAGGATCAGCCCCTGTTTCTTTGAGCAAGTGCTCCTCGGCGGCCTGCAGAACTTCGATCATCGACGCGTATAAGCCCTCGTCTTCTGACTTCCACATCCGGCCACCAGGAAACACGACTCGTCTCAAGCGGTTGACCCATGGCATTAGCGGCTTATAATACTCGGTGAAGAAGTTTCTCATCGTCCGAAAGAAGAGGTCCTCATCATACACAGTTGGTTGTCGCCAGAGTTTCCATTTTAAGGAAGTTTCACTAGTCGAATTCTTCCACAACATTCCCATGGCCCGGCCCGTGATAGTGGATGCAAATCCGAAGCAGAACGCAGAAAAAGGACTGCAAGTCATGCATAAAGCTGTGTTGCTCTCCCAGAAGTGCCCCGACCGCCATGAATGCTCGAGTCCCCGTCTTACCTTGGGCACCAGAAGCCTTGACCCGTGACCCCTTCACGCTAAGGTCGAGGTCAATGAGGAATCCCGGCCACTGGGCGTCGCTCTGCTCATTGACCCTCATATTGTTGACAGAGATATCCCGATGGAGTAGCCCAGCCTCACTGCGTAACGACTGGTGACCCTGGATGCAGCCCACGTAGGCCCGCAGAAGGACCGGAGGAGAACTTGCCTTGTAGATCGGCTCGCCGTAATCCCTAATCACCACTCGACGGTGAATCCGGTTGGACTGGGCGCTCCGGACCAAACTTAGCGATGCCGATCTGGATTGATGTCGCTTGCGAGACGAATGCGCGAGGCGGGCAGGACTGGAGGATCGCTTTCGGCCCACGATGCTGGTGCTACTGCGGCCTTCCTGGGGGCAGGTCATTGTCCGGGGACTCGGTGTGTCCGAGGACCGACCAGACCGATGATTGTCCGCCGTGGTGATATCTAGTCCTTTCCGAACATTGTGTCGAATATCATCATCGGTGCCTGACACCTGCACCGTCTCGTGATGGTAGTATCGAGCAACGTTGACCACCCCCAACTCGGTTGTCTCCTGCAACAGCTCACCCTCGTTCACCCGCTCCGTGTATTGCCGAGAGTCTTTCACAACCAGAAGTTGATCGGGAGAGCATTCCAGATGGACCTTCCAGCAAGTGGTTGCTCGACCGACTACACACGCGGCGCGCCGGATCACTCGGTCTATAATAAGGCGCTCTGTCCGGTTTTGACGTTGGATGTCGATTACATGCCGGCCTTTATCGTTATAGATGGTTGGATCGAAGCCCAAGTCCTCATCGCCTTTCCAAAGAAAGCCCAGAATTGTCGAGACAAACCGAAATGCGTCTTTATGTTTGTCGAACTTGTGGGATGCGATGCCCCCCAAGCGGTCATACTCCCAGATCCTCATATAGGGCCCACAGAGAGTAAAGCCTATAACAAAGCGCCGGGTATCTTGAGCTGCCAGGACCTCTCGCGCAGATCTCCCCAAGTCCAGCCAGGCCTTCAAGTGAATGTCGGCTGCGGGATTGCTTTGGTTAGGGTTTGCGCCTCTAGAAGTTACTTCTTACGTGAAGAATGGCCCCAATGGTATGTACTGTGTGCCTTGAGTGGTAGAGCCTTTGCTGACGTGACGAGCGGCAGACATTGAGATCACAGTTGCCACTACATTGTGGAACAAGCTACGGAAGACGTGGCCTGCTATCTATGGGTCTCTAGAGGCACAAAAAGTCGGTCTGCTGGGTCCTGTTACTCTGACGTACTATGCCCAGAAGCAAATTTGACCATGCTGTTCGTGCTGCAGTAGAGGGGAAAGTGGCTGTATGTATGGATTGGTTCGTTGTCCGTACATGTACGAGGCCGCCTGCCCGGCTGTTTAGCCCTCGGGTAACAGCACCTTAGGAAGGCTCAGTTACCGATCTAGACTTAGCAGCCTGACTCTCATAGACCATATCTGGTCTTTTGAGATCACGCCCCGGTGTGCTACCAGGAAAGAGAATTTAACACGGCACTCGCGCCAGTCCCCGCGATTGCCTTCTTGACTACACAGCTAGGTCGCCATAGAATGAAGCATGTTATGTGGTGCACATCCGCTGAGCAATAAGATGTCTAGTTGAGCATTACGATCTTGTAGTGTCACGGTATTCCATGCACATGGTGTAAATATAAATGCGAGGTAAAGCTGACAACATAGCCACGGGACGCGGTTGGGCTTCTGAATAGATGGCATCTTGTTCTGTTATGTCTTATGCATTCAAAACTCCATCAAGGTAGCTTGTCCAGGCCAGTTCCTCGCTTCATTGCTCGGTCCTAAGCGACACATATGAGCAATCAATCCATGTCGTTGAGAGACACGAGAATGGATGCACATGCTGGCACTACCCAAATTCCCGTCGGTATGTATTTGGAAACGACCTTCACCATGGAAGCCATAGCTCCGCGCCATACGGGACCTGAGGCTCCGGCCAGGATATCCTGCACAACCTGGCGAGCAAAATCGTCGGGTGCGCTCTTGCTTAAGACATCCTTCCCGGCACCGCGTATTTGAATCTCCGGAAGCGCCTTGTGGTAGAGTGAGCTCTTGGGCAGGGTCAGGTTGGCGTGTGACATAACATTTGTGGCGACGGTGCCGGTGACAAGTGAGATAACTCGAACGTTGTAGGGCTGTAGCTCCAACCGAAGGGTCTCGCTCCAAGACATTAGAGCAGCCTTTGAGGCGTTGTAAACACCTGGTGCAAAGTATCAGCGATAAATCCCCCCTCAAATCTACTGCAGAGGCTTGTGGGGGAAAGGCAGACTAGGCAGCGTCCAACTCGCGACGAATGAATCAGACAAATGACTACGGGAACTTTTCGGAATCGAGCACGAGACCCGGTCGATCCCCTCCCACAGTCGCTGCCCTCACGGCTGTGGTGCAGCCTTGCTCATTGACTACGGAACCACTACTGCGTATGCCGGAAGAGAATTATCCAGAGCTGGACAGGCAAATGCCACAAAGATCAGGAACTTCTGACGCAGTTTTAGATACAGCGTGGGAGCAAGTCTCAACGTGGTCTAGTTGCCTCGAATGGTCGCCCGCAAAGGAGGTTACTTTTATGCCGGAATCCGATTTTCCTATAGCAGAAGATCCACCACTCAGCCCAGATTCACTGGTTCCTGGGTAGGTACTATTACCCCAATACTCTGCTTGTCGGGACAGAAACCGGGTGTCCAGAACATGATTACTGATGGCCAACGAGTAGCTACCCTGCGCCGGAGAATACTGCACAGCGGCAGCAGACGGTGCCTCCCATCGTCGATGGATTCCCCCCCCCGGGTTTTCTTCTCACTCCACGGTTCAACTTGACCCACAATATTCGGTCAAGTAGTCATACCTCCGAGATTGCTGTGGAAGAGCAATCTTCGTGCTCATGCGTAAACTCTGCTGTCTTATTGCTAGATGAACTGCAGGCGCCACACCGTAACGGCGGCGGCTCTGGCGAGCAGAGTCTCGAGTGCATCCTCTCGATTTACCAGGAGGTGCTCACCCTAAGCAAGCGCATGATCAACTGCGACACTTGCCGAAGGAAGTCGGAGAATATGATGGTTCTTACTATGGTGTTGGAAAGATTAGCCATTCTGTGTAGGGAAGTGATTGATGCTTTTATCGTCCAACGAGGAGCCAGTGTCAATGTCAATGCCAATGTCAACCAGCCGCAGCGGTTGATCTTGGGCGAGTACCAGATCGAGGGCGGAGACTATGAGGTCATGATGGGGATGCTAGTGACGAGGCGCCTGTCGGAGTTGGAAGACCTACTAACCTGTATGAGGACGATCAGTGCCTCCACCCGCCGCCCTCACCAGCAGGCCAGATTGATGCGCGTTGGTCAGCATGTTGAAGACTTGTTTTCAAAGCTAGCATCTATCTGTCCTTCGGTCACCGAATGGAATGTTGATGCAAATCAGTCACGGCTGCAAGGCGTATGCAATTGACTCCACTTGCCACCAGAGCAATATCAGTAGCAGGTACCGTGTTTTGAGATATACGAAGAATTTGTTGGTATTTAGGACCCTATATTACTATACTATAGAGTATAGTGTATATGATATGTGATTGCAAACACTTAGACCCTACAAGAGCAGAAGAGGTAAAATAGTACAAGAACCGAATGCCTTCTGCACGGCCTAGTAAGATTCTGGCTGAATTACATGAAATCCGGAAATAACCTTTTTTGAATGTTTACCAAAACCATTCAATGAAAATACATAGCGGGCCGAGGGGGTAAGTTACAGTGGTTGTACTGCAGTTTGCTTCAGTTATATAAAGTTATAATAAAGTTGTATAAAATTCTAACTAATTATAAGTTTTTTAAATCTAGAAGTATTAATTTTTATATAAATAATAAATTATACTAAAACTATATTTTTTTTACTAGATCTAAAGTAGTTTTTATTAGAATAGATTAACCTGACCGTTATATCTTAACCTTAACCTGGCCATAACCTGGCGGTCAGGTTAAGATATAAAAAAATTTTAACTATACGGTTATAGTTAGATTAAAATATAACTATTATTTTAACTATTTATACCTACCAGTTAGAAAAATTAGATATAGCGGATAGATTAATAACCGCAGATTAATTAGTAATATATATATTTTTCTTATATAAATAATATATATGTCATAGATAACCCCTGTAACTATGGCGGATTATTAACAATCTATCTATATATTCTCCGTGTAATAGTCATAATATCAATAACTCAGACCTTCTTCAGTATTTAACTCCTAAGACCTTGCTAAACCTTTAGAATAGCAAGAATTAGTCTTAAAATTAATAGACTACTACTATTTTATATCTAACTGATTTTTTCTCTTTACAATTCTAATCTTTTTTTTTTAGTTATTTATAAAATACAGTATGTTACCGTAATTCTTATATTCCGATAGCAGTTCCGAGTTGGAAACTTTTTCTACTACTAATAATTTATTATCTTTACTATTAGATCCTTCGGTAGAGGATCTTACTGCAGTTAAAAATACTATTAGTCAGCTATAAGATTATTAGCAGTTAAAAAGATAAATTACCAAACTACAACAAAAAATTTAATATAATAATATTAAATTGGTACTAACTCGGCAACAAAAAACTTCTTTTTTTTTAAATAAATCTAAAATAAATATTAAAATCAAAGATATTCCGCAATTCGAACTTTTCTTTAATATTTAAAAACACCAGGAATAGTTCTATAATTTAGATTATAATTTTTAGAAAGTACTATCTAAGTTTTATAATAACTATTATAAAATTCTCGAGGCTGTAAACCATATAAGCGCGACTTATCAGCAGAAATAGTACTATTATCTTAAAAAATTACTACCAGAATAAAAGAAAAATATTAGTTATTTATAGTCTGCTTTTACTAAATAGATACTTTTTCTTATCCGAAATACTATTATCTTTGAGCCTAATATAATAAGCCAGCTAGAGCGAGCTCGACAGCAAAACAATTAAGATTCTTATAAATTTTATACTTATCTTAATACTTTAGAACAATATTTTTCTAAAGCTACTAAAAAGAAATATAGCTATACTTTTTTTATAAAATTATTTTCTGATTTTAGTCGCTATATTAAAGAACATGTATACCAACTGTCTGAAAAATAAGACAAGATAATATCTTTTACTACTTATTATTAGAATTTATATATATAAGAATAAAAATATAAACAGAAACCTAACAGATCTAATATATTATAAAAACAGTTACAATTTTATAAGAATACTCAACCTTTTAATCCTAAAACTGATTATTCTGATCTAGTTAGAAAAGTTTTACAATATTTTTTATATAATAGTACTAAGTATCTCGCTAACCGATGTTCTTAAAAAAAAAAGAGATCAGCTTAGAGTGGCTAACGGCCAGGTCAGGTCAGGTTAATTGGAATTTTTATACCTGACCGCCAGGTTATAACCAGATTAAGAAAATTTTTATATCTAACCGCGGTATAGCTAAAAAAGAGATAGTTAACTGTCTTAATTATTCTTAATACTAAAACCTGGCTGCTATATCTATTTAGATTTTAGTACAGTTAAGATATATCTAGGTTAAGTAGTTATTAACCTGACCATCTTAACTATTGTTTAAAAGTATATAAAAATAAGCTTTTAAAATCAGAAAAAAATAACTAAGAGAAGTATTAGTATCTTTTTTATTTTTATCTTAAAGAATTAATCAGAGATTTCTGATAGTATTAACAAAATTCAGCTTTTTATAAAATTATGGTTCTTACAGCAAGAAATATATATAAAAATATATAATTATAGTTCGGTTTAAGCTGTATATCTTAATTATAATATATAATATCAGAAAAACTGTATATTTACTAATAATTGGACTACTAAGAATAAATATATTATTTTTATTCTATTATTCTTCTTCTTACTTTAGCTTAGATAGTCTATTATATTCTTATTTCTATCTAAAAGAGCTGAATTATTTATATAATAAATTAAATTTGAAGAAAAACCCGCGTAATATTATTTATATAGTCTTTTTCGGCAACTGTACTTTTTAATAATTATTTTATTAAATACTAGATACTGTAAGAATAATTTATTATTTTTATTTTTTTAATCCAGTTGACTTTTTTTATTCTTTTTATCCAGTTGATTTTTTTAATTTATTTAATCTTTTTGATTTTAAGTACTCCAGAGATCTGCTATTAATTATACTAATTTTATTTTATTTATTTAGTTTGACCGACTCTCCTGCGTAATAATAATATATATCCCGAAGTTTTTTTGTATTTTTCTTTTTTTTTCTTTCTTTTTTTATACTTAAAATTCTTGTATCTTAGTATTAAATAGATTAGTTTTTAATTATTTAAACAGTTTTTATAAATACTATATTTTTTATAGAGGGCTCTATATAAGCCTTTTTCAGGCCTTTTTTATAAATATTAGAGTGATCTGACTAATCTGACTAATTTAACTGATTAAAATAAATAAGATGCAGCAGGTGTCTTAGCTATATTTAAAATATAATAGATTATATTTATATAAAAGCGCGTTTTAAAATAAAACAAACTGTTTTTATAGAATTTTCTACTTTTTTTTTTCTATATCTATTATTTGTAGAATAGTTTTAGAATTATAAATTAATTATAGTTATCTAGCTTATTTTTAAAGAATATTATTAAGTTTTTTTTTTCTGTTTCTTAGATATTTACAAATTATAATAATATTTAAATTAAGATAAGCTTTTTAAGCTAGATTTTTTTTTTTTTTTAAATCTTTAGATTACGCGCGTCGTAAAGAATCGGAAGATTATTTTATATCTAATTTATAAAAAAAAATACTTTATTTTCTAAGATTAGTAATAGAAGATAATCTTTTTTAAAGCTTGTATATAAGCTCGAAAACTACTATTTTACTTCGGTCGAAAGAAGATATTAATAATATAAAACAGCTTTTAGAAAGATATATTATTTTCTGATAGAACTTTTTATATCTATTATATTATCTGTCTTTATATCCTGCAACACCCGGGAATTAAAAACTTAGGAACTAGTTCTATAAGCTATTATCTTTGTAAGAATTATAAGAAGAAAATACTATTAATAGTATTTAAGTAAATAATTAGTTAGATACTAAATAAAAAACTATTATAGATATTTATTTATTTTTTTAATATAAATTTTTTTTAATTATTATTTTCTCTAAGTTTTTACAGCCTATAATAAATAGAACTTTTAGAATTAAGTCCTATATTTTATAATTATCTGTTGTCTACTATTCCGAACTGTTGAGTATATTTAATTTAAACAGATAATTAATTTTACAGCTTTATTTTTCTGCTGAAAACTAAGTTTTTTTAATTAAATACAAATTAAAGAATATTTTTTAGAGTTATTAAAAGATATATATATACAGCTATTATTAAAGTTTTTAGATACTAAAAGAATATTGGTTATAGTAGACTGCTGGACTAGTTTTAATTAAAAAATATTTTTTACTTTAATTAGATATTTTTTAATAAAAGATATAGATTATTATAAAGTTCTACTGGGCTTCCGACCGGTATCTAGATTTTATATTAGTAAAAATTTAGTTATAATTATTTTATTAGTTTTATATAAATATAATCTGTTTTATTAGTTATTAGATATAACAATTAATAATACTAGTAATAATAGTTTAATATTTAGTATAATTTTATTTGAACTCTGGATTTAGTTCAGCTAAAGTATTCAGCTTTATAATACTTTATTTAACCCTAATTTTATAATAATTATTTAAAGCTAGTATTATATATTCTGTCTTACTTATATAATTCAGCTTATAGTTAATATTTTTCTATAAAAACTTTAGATTAAGGTTTTAAACAGTACTGTCGAATATATATAGAAGAATTATAATAAAAGTTTTAAAGCCTCTTCTAATATTTTAAGAATTTTTAAAAAAATATATTTTAGAAGCTATTTATAAAAGACTAATATAGAAAGCTTCTACTATAGTAGAGACTATCTGGATTAGTTTTTTACAGATAGATTCTAAAAATCTTTTTTTAATAATAGCTAATAATACTAATTCTTAATTATAGATTTAGAAGATTATATAATTTGTAAATATAAGTTCTTAATACTATAAAAAATTCTAGCTTATTTAATAACTTAAATCAGGCTCGGTCTACTATCTTTTTCTTAATTATAAAACTTACTGGAACTTAATTTATTTTATAATTTGCCGGATACTTAATTTTTATTAAGTAATTAATAGTTTTATTTAGTACTGTAATTATAGTAATATTAATTATTTTTGTCTTACTATAATTAAGTAAAAATAGATAGAGTATCTTTTTAAGTTTTTATATTTTTTTTTTTTTTTATATTATATTTATCTGAGAACAGTAGGCCTACTATTTATAAGATTTATAATATTTATAATAATTT